GCGTCTTCCAAGGCAGAGTCTGGGACGTGGCACCATGTCCCCAAACCTCACTGTGTTAAGCAGCTCCGTGCGTTGGCGTGAGAGCACACAAGATTTTCTCTTTAAGCTTTATAATTAGCTTCTGTTAACTTTACTGTGAGAACAAGGTTTAATCAACTGTATCAGTGCTTTGTGTGGCTCCTCATAAGTGTGGCTGATTGACTGATTCACCCTTTTCTTCTTTACTCATCTGACAAATGAAACAGGGACAGACGCTGTCATGAGAGACGGAGGATTACCCTACCGGACCAACCACAGAGGTTGGGCAGGGTTGGCCATTTTACACAGGATCAACCTCTGGTTCCCCCAGTCCTTCTTCTCCACAGAGAGCCGAAATGCTGACTTGCCCTCAGCAGACTGACTGCCCGTGGCATCTATTCGGTGGGAGGTTTGCACAAACGAGGTGCATCGTGGCGTTCTGCCACAGACACAGACCGTTGGTTCCCAGCAGCCACGGAGATGAGATAGGCTGGCTGCGAATTTCCGAGCCATCACCATATCAACCAGGGCAGACGCTTCCCCCTGCAGAGGAGGGAGGACCGAAGGCCTTGCCCAGCACTGCCTCCGTGCCCACGCAGCCTCCTGCGCACCACACATTCCACGTGGCGACATCTGCCACTTCAGATAAACAGGGCAAATTCATCTTGGCTTCCCAGCAAGTTTTGCCTACGTATTCTAGCTTTGAATTGGGACTGGTGCAAAAGCTAAAGATACAATAATTTCAGAAAGTAGCCAATTAAATTATCTTTATTAAGCAGCTTTTGATCAAAATACATTTGCTTATAAAATCTCAGCCATTACAAATGTGAAAGAGAGGAAGATCTGGTCAGCGTGAAAGTTTCTGCTCAAAGTCAAGACATCCATTGATATCATTGGTAATTGAATCACATCCATAAAGCATAAATTGATCTAAATATTGGAATTTTACTGCATAAATGTCAAGGTTCCTACCAACGGTAGCCAATGAAAGACAAGATGAGCACTGGGGGGTGTTGTAACAGCATTATGAGGAAATAAATGGCAACGCGTGGCATTGCTTCCCGGTAAACCATACGGACGGAAGCGGATGAGGTACTTGGCTCACATGGAGATGTGGCAGAATTTCCCCTTAAAATGGAGAGCTGCTCTTGAAGCATGAGGAGCTACAGGAGCTAGGGGAAGAGAGAGGGGGAAACGGAAACAAAGGGAGAATAAGCCAAAAGAAAAAGCGTAATTGCTAGCAAGAATTTTACCATAGGGACTGGAACATGAAGAACTGCAGAGGACAAGTTTTTTTTGTTCTGAATGTACTCGGATGAAACATAAAATTACCCAAATATTTACATTTTTATCAATGGTTTTAATCCATTTTGCCATTTAATAGTACAAAGCCATCTTCCACCACAAGAGTATCTGTACTTTTTAAAATAAATTGTGGTTTTAAATTAAAAAAAAAAACAACTCAACATCTCACAAAAAGCTACAGATGGAGTTTTTATATACAGTTGTTTGCTCAGTAGATGGAATATTGAATCCTTCGCCCATTAAACGTATCCTCACCACAGATTTGCTGCACCTGCTGTTTTACATCTCAGTGTATCCGGTACTGAATATTTATGGTCCGTCCCCCAGGACGTGCAGGGGGGCTGGAGGAGACCGTCACAGCACGGCGATGACACCTGCTGGGAGCGGCCACCCATGCCCGGCCTCAACCGCATCCCCACCCGCAGCAACAACGGCACCCCACCTGCCCACGCACAAGGGACAACGGACCTGAGGAAGACACTTCTCACGATGAGGGTGGTGAGGCCCTGGCCCAGGTTGCCCAGAGCGGTGGGAGATGCCCCGTCCCTGGAAACATCCAAGGCCGGGTCAGACGGCGCTCTGAGCAACCTGACCCAGCTGAAGATGTCCCTGCTGACTGCAGGGGAGTTGGACTGGATGGCCTCTAAGGTCCCTCCCAACCCAACCCAATCTGTGATTCTGTGACACACAGCAAGACACACCGCAGGTATTTATAACCTTTTATACAGCTCTTTCTTTATTCACACCCCAAGCAACCAAAGACACTTTGACGTTGTACCAAGGAGACCCAAGGTCCTCCACGGAACCGCTCAAACTCTGTGCTTTCACCTGATCATCCCAGTCTGGAAGCCAGGGACAGCAATGCAAACCTGCGACGTCCACGAGCTGGAATTGCTTACAGCCGCTTGTTGGCAATAGGGAGGAATTTCTCATGCCCAGGTAGACATCAGCTGGCAGAGGTCTGTCCCTTCAGGGGGCTGCTGAAGTGACCACCCTTGGCTAGCTGAGTCCGTGGGGATGGAATCACACAGACTGCACCCGCTGGTTCACCCTTGTCCCTGGCCATGGCGGGGTCAGGATCTCACTCCTGGCTCTCACCGTCCCCTCGCTGTGTGCCACTGTGGCTTCTTGCTTGAGGAGCAAACTGTAAAAGGACAGTGCTGGCATTTTTCTAGTTGTTTGCCCAAAGACAATTCCAAGCAGTAAGCAAAGATGATTCATAGTTCCTGCGCCTGGCAGTCTGCTGTGTCTCAGGCACTGGAGTCCTTTGTAGCAGCAAAACCCGCTCACGCCTGGGTGGGGACATTTCTCCTGTTCTCCTCACGCCCTGCAAGCCACAGCCACAAACCTGGCTCTGCCTCGAGAAGCGCGTTGGCATCAGCAGGGTCTGCAGGACAAGAGCAGTGCCCTGAGGCTCCCACTCCACAGGAGTGATTTGAGGAATGGTTTTTCATCAATTAAAATAATTTAGAATAAAAAAAGAGAAGTTTTTAAAAACCCAAAGAGCTGGAAGGACAGCTTATAGAAGGGAACTGTCGAGATGGGAGGCAGCCGAGGTGGAACTGGTCAGTGCAGAGCAGACGCAGAGGCAGTGGGAACGGGAGTGCAGATACACACAGCAACCCCCAAAGAACTCCACACTCGGCAACTTTTTCCAGTGTCAGTGGACTTACTCATTTTACTCAGGAGACTTCAACCTTAAACAAAGAAAAAAAAACCTATTTCACCTCAGAAATAAATCAGATTTTCAAAGCCATATGGATGCTTTATTTTTGTCGTGAGCGTGTTGCCACGCAACTTGGAGAGGCATCAGCTCCCTCGCAGTGATTGCCACAGAGCTTCCATCCAATTCACTTCATTGTGCTATTTGATACGGGCTTTGGATGACCCCACATCCATCTGCCTATATTCTGTTTAGTTCTCTACTTTTAAACAAGCAAACCACAACATCTTGACCTTTCTTTCAGAGTCACTTCTCCTCAGCAGTGCTATTGAAGACAGTGGAGTTAGACTAGTACTTACGGCGGCGATTAAATCTGAAGAGTACTTTCGATTCGTATTTTATTGACATTGCAGCACCTACCAGACAAAGCAAAGAGACCCACAGGGTCTTTGGGTATAAAAATTGGTTTTCTGAGATATTTGGATCCAACAAAGAAAGAATAAAGACCCAATAACTAAGTAATATCTATGACAGCATGCACTTCTCAAAAAAAGACAACATTTGAAACAGATGAGCAGGAGGTGCATCATTCTCCACCCTCAGAGGCCTGTGAGTCAAAACTGGGTATCTTTTTACAAACAACTGCACCCCTGAAGAAAGGTTTAGATCGGATCTGTGGACATCTAATCCCTCGGGGTCAGGAGTAAGGCTGGAGAACCGAGTCATAGAGAAAGAGGGCTGAACAGTCATTAATCAAATCAAATCACATACAGGATCCAAGCAAAGAAAGACTATTAAAGTTTACAGGAGAAATATATTTGCTGGAAAAATATTCTTAAAATTTAGAAATATAGGAGAAAAGGGCAGCTAATTCTCCGGGAAAGCCTTTTGCAACGATCTGGGCTCAAAGGGCGAACTGCAGCGCATGAAGCCCCGCTGCTGGGTGCCGTTCTGCTCCTGCGAGGGACCTGCACCGCATCGCTCCGCAGCCGGGAAGAGAAAGGCATGAGCAGTCACCGAATTGTTAACTGGGGCTTTAAATGGTCAGGTTCAAGCACAGCCTGCTTGGCTTCACAGAGGACTCGCTGGGGACCTGCTGTAACAAGCTACCTGTCGTGGTCCCCTGCAGCACGCAGAAAGCCACCTCTGTCACCAGGCACAGCCGAGACTTTTCCTCCCGCGAAGTTTGCAGGGCGGCAGGGAAAGCTGCGGTCCTGCGGCAGGCCCCGAGCAGC